TATATATTTATTTATTTATTTGTATATGTATTTACAATTAATTATGTATTTAGGTGAATGTCCGATGGAAAGGGTAAGCTTTTGAATTGACATCTGTCTTTTTCTATAAAACATAATCAGCTCATATTTATACCCATATATAATGAGAATATATTGATTTGTAACCATTTTTTGTTTCCAGATTCTTTTGATGGAAGTTATTTTTCTATTTTCACCACTTAAATAAGTTAATTATCAATAACCGCTTAAATCCTCAAATTATTAACTATACCCATTTTATTACTTAATCTCAAATCTTTTATTTTAAATTTTTTAAATAAAATATAAAGGCATCACCCTACTAAAATTTATAGTATATAGTGTGTTTACCAAATATCAAATTAATTTTAGGAATTTGGATCCTAAAAGTGCAATTCGTATAAACCTACAAAATGAAAGAAAGCGAAAATAATAAATGTAATGACAAAAACAAAAATATTAAATGAGTGGAGAAAATGAGGAGTAAACTAACTACAGTATTACCATTTAACAAGATTACTAAAAGTTGTTAATTTAAATGATTTGAAATTTGAGTTCTTTAATTAAGGACCGAAGCTTTCTTTCCCTATTGAATATTGAGTTGCTATTAAAGTTATCACTTATGATTTATTATTTGACGCTTGAAATAAAAAATTAGAAAGATTAATTCAATACCACTTTGATAGCATCCTTGCTTGCATTAGTGGAGAGATGATGATCAATGTGAAGAAAGCCTTGACTCCCTGGATCAAGCTCTTCAAGGTGGGTGTGTTTTAGGATGGAAACCAAAAATGGAAGGGGGAGGTGAAGGTATTTGATGAAAGGTTTGAGAGGGGAACTCTAGGTTTTGTCTCACTCCATGGGTGATGAAGGCCACTTCTAGGTTTTCTCTCAAGGTGGAGATAGGTATTCTTGGCCAAATTTAGACCAAGAGAGACTAAGGAAAATATTAAGGCACAAAAGGCTCACTCAATATTATAATTTCCAAAGTGATTACAAGTTGCATAGCCTGAGATATTTATAGAAGGAAGGAAGTATTAGGGTTGCATTTGAGAGTGCCTTGGCCGAAAAATGCAAGCCAAATGCACTTCAAATGAAACTTAAATTAACGCTAGATGCTACTTGATGGCCAATGATGGAATCTTTGGATTTGATTAAGATACATCTAAGTCCATGATAAGATCATGCATCCTAGGTGCCCTCCACTTGGGCCTAAGCCTTACCAAGTCCAAAAACAAATCCAATGCTACCAAAAATATACGTTTAGGCCTTTTTCTAACCCTAATAAAATACTCTAACTATAAAATAAAATTCTATAATCTAATGCACCCCATAATACAAGGGTAAAATGGGAAATACAAGTAAAAATAAATCCTATGACTAAGGCACCCCAAAATACAAGGTAAAATGGGAAATACAAGTAAAATAAATCCTATGTCTAAGATACCCAAAATAAAAGGGTAAAATAGGAAAATTAAAGACAAGAGCAAAATAAGAATAAAAATAAATGCTATAATAATAAAAATTTAAGAAATAAGGCCCAAAAGTAGGCTCACTCCTCCTATGGTTTTTCAACACTAACACATTCTTCTTGTCTCCTTCAATATATCACCTCTTAATCTTATTGGCCTTAGTGTTATTTCATCACACTTCGAGCACTTTTCCCCCATTTTTAAGTTGTGTTCTTATGAAGAATTTTAAAAATTTGTGATTTTTAAAAAAATAATTAAATTACTTTAATTTAAGTTTACTTTAATTACTATATATATATAAAGGAGGATCCACCTATATATACACTAGGGAAAAAAGAGGTATTTTGTGTCTCTTTATTTAAAAAAAAAAAAGTGATAATAAGTGATTATTTAAATAGAGAGATTTGGAAAATGAATATTGTTAAAGGAGAAAAAAGAGATAGTCAAAAAATAAATAAAATAAAAGATGATGAAAGAGAAAGTGATTTAATGAAAGTTATAAGGGTAAAGTAGTCAAAAATTTGTATACAGCAAATTGCAGTATTTGCTTTATTAATAGTATAGGCATATAGAAGAGGGATCCACCTGTTCTAAGAATAATTTACCTAAACTTTTTTATTCAATAATTCATGTTCAACATCAAATTTTAATGATATAATCATTGAATTAAAAAGTTCTTAATACATAAATTAATTCTATAAATTTAAAAAAAAAATTAAAAACCATTTGATATTCCATTTTATTAATATAAATTGGTGGGTAATCATAAAAATATTTTATACATTGATTTGAATTAATGAAATATACTGAGTATCAAATAATTTTTCAATTTTTTTAAAATTTGCAAACAAGACCTATGTATTAAGAAATTTTAATTAAACAGTTAGATTGTTAAAATTTGATATAAAACACAAGGTAGTAAATAAAATAAGTCTATATTATCTTACTCTTAAAATAAGTAGATCTCTATTTATATATATATATATATATATATATATTATGATTTGAATTAATTATGATAATTATAACAATGTATTTAAATATTTTAATTATTATAAT